GGGTAGAATTTTCCGGGGAGTGCCACTATGTGTATAGTTTTTTGTTATCAATTTTCTGGAAACCGGTTTTTCTAATTTTTCTAATTTTTCGGGAAATAATTCACCGAATTTCAAAGAATTGTAGATCAAACAGGGGTAGAATTTTCCGGGGAGTGCTATCAAGTATATAATTTTTTGTTACCGATCTTTTTGGAAAGCGGTATCAGAAGTTTGACAAATTTTTCGGGAAATAATTAATCGAATTTTAAAGAATAGTATTTAGAGAGAAAGAGAGAGAGAGAGAGAGAGAGAGAAAGAGAGAGAGAAAGAGAGAGAAAGAGAGACTATTTGCGTGTCTGATTAAGTGATTACATATGTCCTCCGGGGCGAAGCCCGGGTAACCAGCTAGTTTATTATATAATAAACAAGGTTCAAAGTCTCACCTTCATGGAACTTGACAATATCCAAATTCACAATTTCGATATTCGTAACGAGTGCATGCACGATCAAACAATGAATTTTCTACTAAATTGGATTTTACACCAAGGACAAGAAGTTCATGGTGGAACCAACAAAGAGAACTTATTAGTTTAGCAGAAACCCCTGCTATCGCATATTACACTGAGAAAACCATTAGTTAAATCAACTAAATCTGAAATATTTGCAATATAATTATAAATTTTAAAGAAGTATATGCTTACCACGATAAATGTCCGTAAACTGAGTATTGTTATTTTGAAACTCGTATTTATACTGTTATCCAGATTTTAGTTCGAGAATTTAATCTTTAAGAATATAAAGTGTCAAGATAATAAATGTTTTCAATATACTTCAAAAACAAGTAATTATGCAACATTATTTAAAAAGATTAGAATCTTAATAGTATAATTTAGTAGAAAAATTTAACCAACTATTTCACAAATATATAATGTCAAATATTTGTATTAATAACAAGATTTAACATTAGTAAAGATTTCCATGAACATAAAACAAATGGTGCACGCATAATACATTCGCATGATCGTGCGATAGGATTAAAAAAAGAGATTAATTGTTTATTTTTAAAAGAGAGAAAAAAGAGAAACATATATATATATATATGTATAATATTAATTTTATGTATATATAGATTCTTTCTTTTAAAGAGTTTTTTTTTATGATATAATATTAAGAGATACGATAGAATTTCTCTCGCGTGCATGCACGAGCGATATACTATCAGCAAAATCGTTTTGTATTATTTTAATCTAAGATCAATTAATGCGAGTTTAATTTGACCTTTGATTTAAACTTATTGTTAGATCTATAATCTACAAATAAAGATATGGATACAAATGATAAAAACGTGAGAAAATAAAAAACAAGTGACATGCTTATAACGTTCATATGATGATATGTTTTTATGTCATAATGTAGCTTTCTGCATGTCATTTCAATCGTGTTTTGCGACTATTAAATTAATAGAACAGAAAATTAATACATGTGCAAAGCAACGCGAAATTTTCTTTTATCTGACATCTAACAACAAAATATTAATGCATATTAACCATAGACGTATATTAATAGACTGAATTGCCATTGGAAAGCTGTATGGAAGATCTAAAGGACAGAGATGTGCTTGCTAAGACGCTTTCCTTTTAATTGTGTAGTTGAAAAGAAAAAAAGGTGAAGAAACAAAGAAAACATCCCAGTAAGCACATATATCTCTGTCCTTTACATCTTTCGTACAGCTCTCTAATGGCAATGTTCAGTCTATTATATACCTCTTTGATATATTAATAAAAAGTGAAATTGCAATGAATGATAATTTAAATGTGTATAAATATTTGTGGAATATTATAAAACTTCAAATTTTGTTTCTAGATTCATAAATAAATATTAAAAAATTGAGTTTTTTATAAACTATATCTTTTTTATACACCTTATTTTTATAAAAACATAAAGTTATTATATATACCTTTGTTAACCATTTAAATCAATTGATAAACTAAATGAACATAACAATATATGTTTGTATAAAAATAATAGATTAAAAGTGTCACTTAACGTCAAGATATTTTTAATATTATAAAAATATGAAATTCTTTGGAAACTGTTATATATTAAATCTTTATTTTTAAAATAAAACTTCTTAATAATAGATAATCAATATATTTATAAGTATCATTACAAATTAAATAATGCTGCAGCATTTTTCAACAAAAGTGTAAATACAGTATATACGTAACATTACATAATAATTCCTTAAAGAATTTTTATTTAAAAATTTCTTTATTGATAGGTCTTTTATTGATAAGACAGAGGTGATTGCTTCCTTCTTGCCAAACAAAATTACGTATTAACTTCAGATTGCAATTATTCGATTGGAACAAATCGTACACGAATTGGATGTGTAACACGGCTCACTATATCCATCATGAACCGAAGATCCTTCAAATAATCGATAGGTTCCAGATAAAAGTTATATATCAACGACGCTATTATGGCTTTCAGTTCCAACATGGCAAATCGTTGTCCTATTATTCGTAAATACATTAATTAAAATTTGTTTATATGACAAGAAATTAGTAGATATCTGATTATTACCTATACAATTTCGTGGTCCTGCGCTAAACGGTAAATAAGAATAAGGATGACGATTTTGTATTCTTTCAGGCAAAAATCTATCTGGGTCAAATACATCTGGATTTGGCCAGAAATTGGGATCTCGATGAATGTCGTAGATATGAATCTGCATTACTGCTCCAGAAGGTATCAGATATGACTCTGAAAATATGTAACAAATTATAATTTTTGAAGAATAAAGATTTGAGGAGTACAAAACATATTTAAAAAAATAAAAATATATAAATTGTGTTTTTATATTAAAATGAGTTAATTATCTTGCTAATTAAAATAAATTTATTATGTACTTAAAGGAATAAACACTAATATAAAAATACTTAAAATTGAAAACTTTTGTTTTGTCAATATATTGTTTAAAAATTGTGTCAAAATTAAAAAATTGTGTAGCAAAGCCACAGAAAAAGAGAAAGAGAGAAAGAAGACTAAATAAATTTTGGAAAAAATAATGTATTATAATTATATTTAAAATAATTTATTATAACTTAATAGTATTAGACAATCAGAGTTTATATGCTAATATATTACAACTCTTCTCTCCCATTCTATGATCAAAAAATACATATATAATAGTTTATTAATTACTCACGTATTTTTATATCTTCCGATAAGACTCGCGATATTAAAGGAACGCTGGGATATAATCTTAACGACTCTTTTAGACATCTTTCTAGGTATTGCAAATTGTTTAATGCTGTTATGGTAAGCTTTCCTTTGTTTTCATGCATTACTGTTCTAACTTCACTTCTAACACGCTCCTAAATCATTAAATAAATTGTAAAAAAATTCTTAAATCAAAACCTAATAAAGTATTGATATCTGTTGTATATAAGTACATGCAGTATGTATATATTTTAATTTTATTTAATTATCATTAAAGGCAAGAAGAAAAATTCACATATATTTTTATAATAAATTAATATTCCTAATAATTTGTTTAAAACTTATTTATAGGAAAAATAAAAAATATTAATTAGTTTAATTAATTGCATGTGATAATTTAATAATTTATGAAAAAAGACATACCTGGACATCCTTGTGCTCAGCTAACACTAATATAGCGTACGTCAAACCCATTGCTACGGTATCATGTCCCTGTATTGTATAATAGAAAATATTTTTTTTCTATATTATATACAGGTATGCGTTTCATGTTTTAAATACAATCACGAGAAAATGGATATTTTAAAGAAACCAACAGTTATATTTATTGTTTATAATACACAAATATCAAAATCTTTTTAAAGTATAACTTAAAAAAATTACTTAAAAGTATATAATATTGTATTAATAATCTTTTGTATCTTAATTCTTAGTTTGGATATTGATAATCCTGATTTTTAAAGAATATTAATGAAAAATGCAAACACTTACTTCGAACATGAAGGTATCGACTTCTTCTCTAATGTCAGAATCATTTATCTCGTTATTGCGAGCTGCTGCTATCAGAAGATCCAACATAGCAAGTCGTTTCTTCTTAACTTAAATAAATAGATAAAACGGATTAGGAATTAATTTAGTTTATATATTAAGAGTATTAATTTGAGAACATAGAATATCATAGATATTGAATATTTTATATCTATACATACTTCCTATTATTTCCTCATCGTCTGTTTCTATCATGTCTGTGTCTTGTAAAAACTTTAAGTATCGCCCGCTAGTATTTTCATGATATTGTCTTCTTTCTGCAATAATCTACGGGGCATATATATTTACTATTTATATTATACTGCTATTACATATGTTACTAATATTAAATTTGTCATATGAGTTATATTATATTTATCATAATTTTACTTTACAGTAAAAAGATAATTTTACAATTCTAAATAACAAGATTTTTACTTATAATTTTAAATAACATTTTACTTACTTTTTCGGTAAATCTATGCAATATTTTTAAATTTTTAGCATGCTTTCTACCCATTGGCGTTAGCGCAAATATCACATCAGGATGATACCACGGTCTCATTATCCTGAATATAATTACAGAAAATATATATTGAAGCAATTCTTGTATTATTTGTTTGATGAACCTAAATTTATGTTTATAGACTTTTAGAATTATACATTTCTTTTTAATATTACAATTTTATTTTTTCTTCCTAATACTCAATTAGAATACAATAATGTAATGTGCTATGTATGTCATGTTTGCTGATCTCAATCCATTATTTTATGAAATTTTTAAAAAGATTATTATATTGTATATTTTTTATGTTAAAGTATCGATCAAAATATCAATTGTATGTGTCTGTAGTAGTTTTTATATTTTTAAATAAATTTTTAAACTGCATAAACAAACATAATTATCAACTTCTAACAAACTTTGTCAAATTACGAAAATAACCGATTTTGACAATTCAAATAGGTACTTATAGCAGAAATTAAATATAATGTACAGGAAGAAAATCATACTGCATCACAAACGATGAAGCGACATAACAATGAAAAAAGCACGTATCGGCATTTTTTTAAAAGTAGAATAATGTGAATAATGTATAATGTATTTACCTATAAGTCAAAATATTACCCATCTCGTGGATTGCTTGATGATACCGTTGTTGAAATTCATCCATATTTTGCAAAAAAGTTCCCATTGCAGTTTCTGTAAGCATATTTGTTAAACTTGCATAAATGCTTATAAGCTTAATGTATCGTATTAATTTAATCTTAAAAATTTGAAAATTACAATACAAAGCATCCTTTTACAAGCTTTAAAATCTTCTTTTTTTTTTATAAAAATTTTTGCAAAGATTGAGTATGATTAATAGAAATTATATTAATATTATATAATTATTATGTAATTGTTATTCTGTAACCAATACTCAATCAATTAAATGTTTATGTTGGAACAAATTTTCCTATCTCGTGGATACAGCATTTACCGCATATTGCATTTAATGTATGTTGACTAATAAAGTTCGCCAAATCATTGACATTTGAACTGTTGCTATCTTTCAAAATTTTTGTCATGCGATTTCCTTCTTCTACGAAGACATCAACAAATTGTTTTAATATAGTAAAATGAAATGCAGGCGTTAATATCTTTCGTCTTTTTCGCCATTTGGATCCTGTAACATAAATACAATTTTATATTTCTAAGTGTATTTTATGGTATCATATCCGCCATGTAAACTTTGTTGAAATTTTGTATAACTTAAATTTTTTGCAGTAATATATTAATTAAGCCTGATTTATAAGTATTATTTTTTATATCACATATTTTTTAATGTAGTAATAATAATTGTAGTTGTTTCTGCAAAACAATGATTATATATTTAACCTTATTATAATTTTATACATTATATATAATACATATTTAGATACAGAATTATATATATTATATAAATATTAAAGAACATACAGACAAATGCTGCCTTTTATGTTCCGTATGTTAGGATTGAAAATTTTGTCAAGTTCATACCTTCACTGGTGAGTAAACCAGTTCCCAACCAAGGATTAAGAAAACTGTACAAATAGCCCTTTCCAAGATTTTGCGTTGTACTGCTTAATATTTTCTAAAACCACATACAAGACGAATTTAAATAACATAACTTTCATCAAATAATAAAAGAAAAAAATTGCTCATTGCTCCTTACAGCAAATATTTTGCAATGTTAGTTTTTTAGCAAAAATGATAAAAGCTTCCATTTGTGAACACTGGAAAATATGTATACATATTCTGAAAACAAACTGTGAATAGCTATAAAATTTTGATCACCATTAATAAAGATCACAAATTAATAAGACAAATCGATGAAAGATTGGTTTATTTTAATTATATTTTCTTTACCTCTATATCATCTGGATGATGAACGCTAATAAAAGCAATCGGACCGCACCAAAATGAAAAAATTGGATAATATTTCTTAGAGGCTGAACGTTGAAGATTCCAAAGTTTTTCTAAAGTATAAAATTTAAAAATACTTATAATGTACATTACAATTGCAATGTAAGTACAGTTATATTTGAGATCATGCAGTACAATTGGTGCATTATCAATTAAATTTAATCAAAATTTAGTATTCTATTAATTGTTTTATTAGTGGAATTGATCTATTTAAATACTTTTTATGATTATTTGAGTGATAGGACTCACTGCAAAACTTTTGCAATCTCCACGTTCTAATCATAATATTTATTTTTTGAAATTTAAACACATTAAATATAATAATACTAACAATAAAAAAATTAATTAATAAAGAAAACAATTCTTGTACATATTAGTTCGAAGTATCGCGGTTGCACTGCATAATTCAATTGTCACTTACTACTTATTTTTTTAATAATAATCTTGCTAATTAGCATTTCTCATAAATAAATTAAATGTTTATTATTAAAACAATAATATTAAAAAAATTTTACTTGCCCTGCGAATACACACAAAATTCTAAAGCATTGCCAATAAATGGCAGTCCTGGCTTACATGGAATTTTACTAACAAGTCGTCTAAATCTTCCATGATAAAGAATGTAATATAGTAATATAATAAAGAAACATGATAGTAGTAAGATAATAATCATTATTTCTTGAACAATTAAAACTTTAAATAACTTAAAGTTTTCTTCAAATTTCTTTTGTTCCTTTTTTCACTTGATTGAATGTCCACACGAGATACATATTATAATCAATTATAATGCACTGTAACAAAAAATAACAATTAACACTTTTATATTAATACCAAGAGTGATTATTTGACCAAACTGACGTTTAATATCGTAGTGTTACATTAATCCATTCAACGTTTCAACACTAGTTTTGTGTCCTTATCAAGAGTTTACTAAAACAAAAAAGTCATGTTACATAAAAAATATATATCGCACAAGGAACAAAGAACGTAGAAAGGAAAACAAATACTTGTCCCATATTAAAGATTAGTCGCACATAATTTTTTTTTGCAGTTATAACACTGTCAAATTTCAATGTAAAGGATCCGTAATTTATCCTTAATTAATCGTGCGATGTAGCACCGAAACAATACGTAACCCGAACAAAGACGTGCGAAAAACGTCGTTCCGAGTCGGAAAACGGAGTCTAACTAATTTGTAAATACCAAATTCGCGATTGGGTCACCGAAAGAAAAAAATACATATCTTGATAAGGACACAAAACGAGTGTCAAAACGTCGAATGGATTAATGTAACACTACAATATTAAACGTCAGTTTGGTCAAATAATCACTCTTGTTAATTTTTACTGACAAAGAAAAGAATTTTATAACTTTTATATTACATTAATATTAATAATAGGAAAATTACAATAAATTGCATAAACGACATTTCAAAAGTTCCGTATGTTCATAAAAATCTAAAATAAATAATATTTTATATGTTATATATATAATCTATGGCCAGTATTCAACATAGTCCGTTCTTATTTCAAGACCGTTTTAAGTAAAATTTTAAGATGCTAATACAGTCATACATTTCATTGGTTGGATGGAGTCTAAAGACTGCCTTTGACTTAAGACGAGCTTAAATATAAGATCTAAATGTGAGTACCGATCTATAACTTCAAGAAATAGATATGAATAACTTAATATTTAATGATTATTTTACAATGTTTTTTATATTAGAGCATTTTCATTAATATTTACAACATTTTTATTAATATTTAATTTTAAAAAGTATAAACTTAAAATATGAAATCTAAACAATATAGTAATAATAATTTATTATACAAAAATTATAACGGATTATAAATTATAATTATAATCCGTTTGTATTATAACGATTCACACATTTTTACAACGATCAATAAAATTCGAAACTATTAATTGTTATTAATGCCATTATTTTGCGATTATTAGAAATAATTAAATGTCAGTTGTATATTTGAAGTTACGTCTGTTTTCTTTATTGAATCGATTTATATAAAAAAAGAAGAATACTTTTGCAAAACGTTTTTATAAAAATATAATATTTTAATAAATTACGCTATATGTTATACTAGTATATTGAATATGCACATTGTAACAATCTATGGTCTTTAAAAAAGATTTTATCAAATTTTATTTAATTTTATTAAGTTTTATCTCAAATTTTATTGAAATAAATAAACGGCTTACATATTTATAAAAGTCGTATTATTTGTGGAATTAAAATTGATTAAAAAAAATTATTAATTCTAATTATTGTTACTGTAATTATTAAAATAAATTTTAAATTTCTTTATGACAAATATTGTAATAGCATATAGCACAAATAATAACATAATTTACCTTATTAACAGATCCTTTTCCAAGTTATTTTTACTTTGTATCATTTTTATTTAAATATCTTGTTATTTTCAAAAAAAATCCCACAAATGCTTACATCTTATATGCACTTTTAAATTATTTTCTTGAAATTAATTACAGAAGTGGTAGTTTTGATGATTGTAATTAAGAGAAACTATAATTGATATATGATTATACAATCGATTAACCAAGAAACTCAAACGACCGTTGTTACAGTATTTCTACATCAACGTTTCTGATATATTTTGTAGGCACGAAATAGAATCTTGTGTAAATAACAACTACTCACGTAACATGCATATAAATCTTTGTTCGTGAGTGAAATGCTTTCATATCTTAAATGACTGCTGACTCTGATAACCTTTACTTATTTTTATTTTAATATCGAGGATCCTCATACTACTTTATTTAAATGAGTAAAATGCGCAACAAAGAAGATAAATATATTTATAAACTGACATAAAGGCAAAAATATTTGCCTTAAATTATCAATTGCGGTAAAAATGTAAGTAAATAACTATAATATAGAAAGAACCGTACCTCATTTATTTGAGTATGTTATACTCAGGACACAATTAAATATAGTATTTATATATACATATATAACATGTATTTACTCACACCAATATTATCAGATCATGTAACACGCACATATATTGATTTCTTATTACACATAATGAATTTTCACAACATATTGTTGTGCCGCTCCGGGCACGGAGATTCGTCAATCCGCAATGAAGGGTCACAAGAAATCATAACCACAATTATTTTAGTCGAGAAATTTAATAAACGCTTTTAATTCGAATCGTACAACGAGTTTTAAATCTTCGCGCAGACTGACCGCTGTTAACTTTCTACGCGTTTCTTCTGAAGACTGCCCACTCCTCGTACGTCCTCTCTTCCGTATTAATTGGCAGGCTCGACATATTGTCGCTGTTTCAGGGTCGAATTGTTTCAGGGTTATTCCTTGATCAGCGTTTTTCGTATTGTAACTGGTTGGCACCGATCGGATTTTGGGTATTGATCATGCAACTGCGTGTTGTGCTGACTCGTCTTATTTGTTATTTCGTTATTACTAAATTTCGCTCGCTATTTATTGTTACATCTGTTATTACTACTTGCAATCGCTTACAACATCTTAATTGAATAATCGGGTCATCACTCATTAGGTAATCAGATCGCCACAACTTTGTTATCGAGAATCCTTAATTATCCACTCATTAAAATAGATGCATATGCGATATGATCACGCTAAAGATTATATGTTAAAGTTTATTATTTTGGTTATAATGTAAGATTTTAATTCTAAAATAAATATTTATATAAACTGTTTATGCAAAATGCACATATTTTTAAATAAATTAAATTTTTGTTTATAAAATCAAATTTATATTTAATAATTTGATACACATTTCTAAATATAGTAATATCTAAATATTATTAAGAAGAAATGTAACGATCATACATCAACATAGTAAATATAGAGTATATAAAAGTATATAACTATGTATAACAAGAACATAACAACCCTGTGACCAATTCTTACCCAAAAATTGTTGTTTATTTCTACTTATTAAACTATATTGCTTTAGATGAATTAGACGGCACGATCGATTGGCACAAATCGTGTACGGATCGGTTGTGTAACACGGGTTACCAAATCTGACATAAACCGAAGATCCTTCAAATAATCGACGGGTTCTAGATAAAAGTTGTGTATCAACGACGCTATTATAGCTTTCAGTTCCAACATGGCATATCGTTGTCCTATTATTCGTAAATACATTAATTAAAATTTGTTTATATAACAAGAAATTAGTATCTAACATATTACCTATACAATTGCGTGGTCCTGCGCTAAACGGTAAATAAGAATAGGGATGACGTTTTTGGATTCTTTCAGGTAAAAATCTATCTGGGTCGAATACATTTGGATTTGGCCAGAAATTGGGATCTCTATGTATATCGTAGATATTTATGTGCATTACTGATCCAGTAGGTATCAAATATGATTCTGAAAATAGCATGTAACATAATATAATTTTTAAACAATATATTAGTGAAAAATACACATATATGCAAATACTTATATTATGTAAATTATTTTACTTGGGGTATAATTTTTTTACCATATAAGTTAATGATTTTATGAATTGAAAAATTCATTACACATAAACCAACTGTATAAAAATGTTTAGAATTGACAAGTTCTATTTTGACAACATTATGTATTTGAAATTGGAAATATTATGTAATATAGGAAACAAAGAGAGAAAGAAAAAGAGAGAAAGAGAAAAAACTTATAGATAGTTATTATAAAAAATTTTGTATAAATTGATATTAAAATATCAGACAATCAAGGTTTATATATTGTACTTCGGCGTATAACACTTTTTTCACAATTCTTTGGCTGAAATACATATGATATATAATAGTTTATTATAATTACTCACCTGTTTTTACGTCTTCTGATAAGACTCGCGATATGAAAGGAACACTAGGATATAATCTCAATGATTCTTTCAAACATCTTTCCAAGTATGGCATATTATTTAATGCTGACATGGTAAGTTTTCCATCATTTGCTTGTATGACTGCACTAACTTCATTTCTTGCACATTCCTATCAGGAAACAAAGTTTTGTATATTTGATGACTTATGTTTCTTTAATTATTAATTGAAAATGTGGCAGTACTTATTATTTTATATATAATTTTTTTGAGCTGTAAATAAAAACAAAAAAATATTTATGTACTTTCTAAATCAATGTTTCTAACGTTTGTTTCAAAATTATTTCTTATAAATAAAAAATTAACAGAATTAATTGATTGTGTTACTGGTTGAATAAATTTATTATTAAAAATACCTGGACATCTTTGTGTTCAGCTAGCAATAATATTGCAAAAGTCAGACCCATTGCTGTAGTATCGTGCCCCTGCAATAGAAAAACTTTTTAAAATTTATTTCTGCATTATATGCAAACTACATATAATTCAATAAGAAAAACATTAAAAATATTTTTATGTTTAATCGGTTTTTCTTTTTGCCCTTACTTTATATATGCTTTAATATTATTTTTGATCACAAAAATATAATATTTAAGTTATGATTTAATATGTATGATTTACTATTCGTTAGTTTACCAACAAGTTGGGACAACCGACTCTTAGATTTGCAGTATATTAATTTCTTTAGCATATCAATGAAATATCAACGCTTACTTCGAACATGAAGGTATCGACTTCTTCTCTGATGTCTAAATCATTCATTTCGTTATTAGCAGCTTCCAACAGCATAAGATCCAACATAGCGAGCCGCTTTTTCTTAACTTAAGTAAATAAAATAGTTTGAACATTAATTCGATATATGGATTCGATAAATGGATTTTAGATATACTGTGCATACATACTTCCTATCACCTCCTTATCGTCTTCTACATTATCTTTAAAATGTTTCGTCAAGTATTGTCCGTCAGTGCTTTCATGATATTGTTTTCTTTCCGCAATAACCTACAAAAACAACATACCTATAGGTACATATATCTTTAATATTTATATTATCATGTTGCTAAAACCCATTGTTAATATATTAAATTACACAGAAAAATTTTATTTAAATTTAACGTACTCTCTAAATCTGAATCAGTGAAAAGTCACTGATTCAGATTAGTAGAGTAACTTTTTTTTTAAAGATTTTGTCATACGGTTTCCTTCTTCAATCAGAATCTCAACAAATTGTTTTAATTTAAGAAAAGTTCTCACAAATTTATGTAACACAATTTTTACTCACTTTTTCGGTGAAACCATGCAATATTTTTAGATTTTTGGCTTGCTTTCTACCCATTGACGTTAATGCAAATATCATATCGGGATTTAACCACGGTCTCATTGTTCTGTGTGTTATTATACCACATTATATTTTAATATAATTGTCCTTTATAAGAAATGTGAATTTAGATGTTATATAATTTTTAGCTTTGTAAGTTATATAATTTTTTGTGTATATCAATTACAACAGCTTTCTAAATTAATATTAAAAATAGCTATAATTATATAATGTATCCGATCAGAATTGCTACCTATGTAATTTACCTATAAATTATGATATTTCCCATTTCGTGGACTGCCTCGCGATATTGCTGTTGAAATTCGCCCATATCTTGCAAAGAAGTACCCATAGCGGTTTCTGCAAATACATTTACTAACGTAAGTAACTTATACTTGGTTAATTCTGCTATTTTAACAGATTTTAATAAATTACATAAAAAATAATTTTTCTTGTATAAGTTTAAGGTTAGATATATACATAGTTTATAATGAATAAAAATTAAGTGTGCAAATAGAAACTTGCACATTACTTCCTCATAGTTTTTAAGTGGGCAAGTAGAAACTTGCACATTGCTTCCTCATAGTTTTTAAGTGTGCAAATTATAAATTTGAACATTATTTCCTCACAATTTTCAAATATGCAAATTATAAATTGGGACGTTGCTTAATCAACATTTTATTTCGCTCATAAAGCTTCCTCTTATGAGGAAGTCTTTTTTTTATGCATAATTATTAGTAAATATTTATTAATTTGGCTTCCTCATACAGGAAGCTTTATGAGCGAAATAAAATGTTGATTAAGGAACGTGCAAATTTATAATTTGCATACTTGAAAATTGTGAGGAAGTAATGTTCAAACTTATAATTTGCACATTTAAAACCATGAGGAAGCAATGTGCAAGTTTCTATTCTACTTGCCCACTTAAAGACTATGGGGAAGCAATGTGCAAGTTTCTACTTGCGCACTGCGGATATTTCTTAATTGTTCTATTTTTTTATTTATACATTAATTTTTTATTTCTACCTTAAAATAATTTTTTAAATACTTATATAAAAATTATTGGCAAATTTTCTAATTCTATTATATTCTTCAGTGTTTTCTACACCTATTTCATATAGAATTCTTTAAAATTTGGTTGATTAGTTCTTGAAATACAGACGTTTGAAATTTCTAGGAATCCGTGCAAATAGGAGCCTTATAAAACTGGGTCTAATCAACCAAATCTTACAAAATTATATATGAAATAGGGGTTTAAAAGACTGAAGAATGTAATAGAATTAAAAATAGACCGATATCTCAAATATTGAGAAAGCTACAGCGTAAAACACACTTTTATGAAAAAAGAAAATTCCTTAAAATCCATACCGGTCAACGGATTTTTAAAAAATTAGAGGAGAACATATTTCCTATGACACTCTATTTGTGTGCAAAATTTCAACTCGGTATCTAAAAAATTGCAGAAGTAGATGCATGTACAAAAAAATCCGTACACATACATACTTCCGGACATATTCTACTAATGTGATTTCTCGACATTTTGGAACATTCTAAACCTTATTTCCATCAAAATCTCGAAAAAAACTTTTTCCACCATCACAAAGCTTCCTCTATGAGGAAGCAATTGTTAAATAATGTACAAACCAATGTTTACTTGATAGAAAATCTGTGCTAAGACGAAGCCTGTTTCATAAATTATATATGTATATAAATTTACCACATATTGCATTCAATGTATGATGACTGACAAAGAGCATTAAGTCATCAATAGTCGATTCTTTTCTATCTTTCAAAGATTTCGTCATACGGTTTCCTTCTTCAATCAGAATCTCAACAAATTGTTTTAATATATTAAAATGAAACGCAGGTGTTAGTATCTTTCGTCTTCTGTGCCATTTGTTCCCTGCAACAAAAATAAAATAACTGAACTACTAATTTGTAATATCAAAATTTGCTTCAAAAACTTTGCCCAGTTCTGTATTGTTTACTTAACTTAATACAACAGAGATAGCGTATCAATTAACTGCGATTAAAAATTATACCTTATTTGTATCACGTATTTTTAAAAACTTAATATTTACATATATTTGCTTCTTTATTTAGAAATAATGATATTTAATTTGTTCGTTCTTTAATTCTTATTTTATTTAAGATTAAGTTTTATATTTTACATTACTATCTAGTAATAATTTTGATATTTTGCATTTATTTATAAATATTAATAATATTAAATACATTATATTTTTGTTATATTTTTTATTAATAATAACATTTTAACACAAAGCATTCAAAGCTGTACATAGCCTTTTATATAAACTTCATTTCCAACTATCTATAGAATTCTAGACGTTAGAATTAAGAATTTTGTTAAATTCTTTGCAATACCTTCGCTAGTAAGTAATCCAGTTCCTAACCAAGGATATAAAGTAGTATATATATAGCCTTTTGAAAGATGTTCCTTTGGACTGCTTAGTATTTTCTAAAATCAGTACCGAGATTAAATTAAATAATGATATTTTTTTACTAATAGTGAAATGGAAAAATTTGAATATAATAGGTTTGTATGAACTTGCGGTAAAAATATCACAAAATTATGTTTGAGCAAGCACTATGAAATTGTTATTGTTCGTAAAACAATCTCTCGTTTATAGATCTGACAATAACCTGCATTGTGCTATGAATATCCGTGAAACTTATCTTTGAAATGTTATATGATAAATTGACAAAATAAATTAATCAAAGATTAACTTATCTTTTAATATTTCTTTTACCTCTAAATCATCTGGATGATGAACGCTGACAAAAGCAATCGGACCGCACCAAAGTTTATAAATTGGATAATAACTTTTACAAAGTGTACGCTGAAGCTTCCAAAGACTCTCTAAAATGTAAGAAATATAAAAATTAAAATTATTAAATGAAATAAATTCAATGTATTTAATGATATTATTTTCGTTTAATTATTTTTGCGTGCGTTGTTAATCAAAACTAAATAATTTCATTTTATATATTGTATATATTTTGTTACATATTTTTAAGAGGATTGATCTATTTAAATGCATCTTTCAAGATTACTTCAATTGAAAGACATAGTAAAATCTCAATCTCTGCGCTCTAATCTAAAGTTAACTATTTGGTATTTAAATATATTGAATAGAGAATATTAATTAAAAATTGAAATTAATATATAAATACTGTTACATGAAAATAAAAAATCTATTTAATTAATAATCATAAATGCTCCTAACATATATTCTTCACATCATGTTTTCAGCCAAACATGACACTATCCAATTGCAACATTTATTTATTAATAAACTTGTTAATAAATATTTCTTATAAACGAAGCAAATGCTAATTATTAAAATAAAAAACTTCAAAAAGTTTTACTTGCCTTGTGAACACAGCCATAAATCTATAGTATGGCCGAGCACTGGAAGTGCCGGCATACTTGGTATTTTATTAATTAAACGCACGAATTTTATATAATGAATAAAGTAATATAGTAATAGAGTAAAAGCACATAAGAGAAGTAAAGTGATAATCATTGTTGACGATTTAAAAGTCTTTAACTTTGTTTTGTCTCTTCTTTCAGTTTTTATCAACACTAATTATGTATAATCGTTGTGTAATATGCTGAAATAAGATTATTTTATCAGTATCAACAACAACAAAAACGAGTTACATAAAGAGTTACATAAAGAGTTAGATAAAATTATATATTATTTTTTTAAACTGCTTATTTATAACTTATATTTATTATGCAACTTTATATATATATACAAACACTGAGAACAAAATTGGTTGTAGGGACTAAATTTGTATGTGTTGATCTAATGGTTGATTCAACAATTATTAAGTTGCACTAAAAAAGGTATAGTTTATTAATATCAACCATCAACATTTTTAAATCAAAAATTAGTTAATTCAACTAATGTTTAGTTGAACGTATCGGACTAAATATTTTAGTTGACTGAAACACATTTTGCGTTTTTCAACAATTTTTTTCCTCAGTGTGTATACTTATATATATATTATATATATGATGTTACATACCATATATTTATACTCCAAAAAAATTTTGTCTAAAAAATTTTATTAAAATAAATAAGCATCGTACAGTTTCTAAAATTTATGTTTTATACGAGAAACACTTATATCTATAAAACATATAATTTGCGAAACTTGGTCTACGCTTATTAAATTAAATCATAATTTAAAAAAGTTTATACTAAATATTTTTTCTTTAACGACATGCTCATACTCTAATACAATAAAGTATAAGAAATGTAACCTACCTTACACAAAATATTTCCAAGTTAGTATTATGGATAATTTTATTTTAACACTTTTGTATTTATAAACACTTATATCACACATCAACTTTTAAAATCCAATTTTATAGATAATTTTAATTAACACTGTACTCGTACTATAACTAAACTCGTACTAAAATTTGTAAAATTTGTAAAATTATATAATTATAACTGAAGAAACTTTATAACACAACTTCTACCAGCGATAATAACAGTATCGCTGCTATTACATCTTTGACCTAAACATACAAGGTAATGTCTTATAAATTCAACGCGACTGGAGTGATTATGACGTAATGTCTGAGTAGATTCTTGCTCACGAATGAGATATCTCCACGTCACTTTGTCGGGGTGGGAGAGAAATAAAAATATAGCACAAATGCTATATATGCCTTTGCCTTTCGTACAGAGTGTCCATGCGAAGGCTCAGCGTCGCACGCATTATAGCGTCACACATAGCCGTTGTTATTTATAGAGCGCTCAATGCCTCGTCGCGCGCACAGCGATTGTAAATGCTGGACTGTCTCGTCACGGCAAATTACGTGAACGCATGCTGATTCGCAGATTTTTATTAATTAATTTCTTATTATTTATTGCTATAGTCACACCATGCAGAATTTTCCTATTCAGTTTGATCCAAAATTTACCTTCACACTTCAGCTTTGTCAAAAATTATCGGACACTATATAGGTGTCTTACATCATACGCTGTGATACGCTTAGTCATACTATTAGGTAATCTTACTACAATGTAATAGTATTAGTAAGAAATATCTCAAGGGTACAACGTTCAGCATTTAATGAATTCATGAAGATAAACCAGTACTAAAGTTTAATCAATATCTAAGGTTTTAATTAATTCAGCGATAACTACTAATCATTGGTTTTTGTTCAAGCAAGTTTTTCCTCACGCAAACTTTTATTTATGCAAGTTTTTACTCAGAAATAAAATATTTCCACATTTGTTAAGAAATTATATGTAGGTACCTTGTATATTCCCATTTGAATACAATATTCACGTACGCAATATAATGTATATTTTATAATGTGTATATTTAATACACAATTATAATACGCGTAACAATTTTTCTATATGATTGTTTTGCCTTTTACGCTCTACAAGGTCATATTCACTTTAAATGGTAGAATGCGTTTTGGTGACTGATTCAATACTCATATGCATAATGATTTTTTTTCGTAAATTTTTTATTTGTCTTATATAATGTCCATTGAACCTATATTTGCTATTAAATGCTTGTATTTATATATCAGCCACGGGAACAAATCTTACACGAAACGAATGAATAGGACGAATCATTAAATCACTTGTATTCGGAGCTTTGTTAAATAAACGACAGGCTCCAAATAGAAATTGTGTACCAAACGGACTATTATAGCATTCATATCTAGTAAAGCAAATCGTTGATCTACAATTTGATATGTATCACTATCTGCTTGTGAAGAATATAAAAAAAGATACAGCTTACCGTTGCAGTTATGTGGTCCAGCACTGAATGGTAAATACAAGTAAAGATAACGATTTTGGATTTTCTCAAGCAAAAATCTATCTAGATCAAATATCTCAGGATTTGGCAAAAAAATTGAGATCTCTATAGACTCCGTAAATATTAGGGTGCAGAATTATTTCAGTAGGTATTAAATATGATTCTCAAAAATACATCAAAAAACGAAATGCGATTTACAAATAATATTTGAAAGCTTTATTAAAATTTGAAAAATATATATTTATTTGATTCAACACGGAATATGTAGGTATAATTTGCATAAAATAAAAGTTGATAGGATAATTGTAGTTTATTGGAAGTGTTATAAATTTAAATAAAGTTGCATTATACTAATGTACAATTATAAACTTAAACAGTTAAGTTTGGAAATATTACTTAAAAAATTTGTCTTATTTATTGAAACAAGATGAGTATAATTTATAGAATGAAGGAAGTTTTACGTATAGCTATATGTAGTATAATTTTGTTTTCTTGATTAAACAGTGTAAAGCTAGTCTTAGAAATTATTCATAAACAACATGTTATCAGTTAACATGTTGGACAGAAAAAGCGTAAAAATCGCAATTTTGTCCCATTTTTATACTTGATATTGTTTAAATAAATTATTAAAAAATTGAAAAAAATATATTAACAGAAAAAACTTAAAAAATCATAATTGCAATTCTCGATGTCATAGAAGTGTACCATAAAAATTTCATTCATTTTTACTGTACAAGAGCAGAGATACATATTATGATATTTACATGGAAAGTATACCTATATACATACAAATTCTGTAACTTTTAAAGCAAATATCTCAGAAAGGGGTCAGACAATCGATCGCAAATTTAACACAGGTTTTTGGAATATATAAGTGCACAATCTCTGTAAATTTCAGCTTCATCCCTCTATTTTGACATAAGCGATATACATCCTTAAAAAACATCTTGTCTTATAAATATTTATAATTTACATATAACATTTGATGACTTATTTTGTAATGTGATTAAAAATAAAAATATCAAAAAATTAATCAGTTACATACCTAATTGTACATCTTCCGAAATAATTTGAGATAAAAAAGACACTGGGATATATATAAACATAAAACTTTTTTTATACATTGTTTTAAATGTAGTAGTGACTTCATAAAAGTTTCTGTTGACTATGTTATACATAATAGTATCGATTTCTTTCCTGACACGACCGTGTATTGCCAAAAGAGGGCACATATTATTACTCTGCTTTACATTCACAAAAAAAAACAGGTTCTTATGAGTTCTATATTTATCTTAAGGACATTTCGATGCACTTGTTCCAAATACAGGTATGTAAATGATACATTTAAAATACAAGTTTAATTTATACAGGGTGAGGCAATAACTATTACCATCTTAAATATATTCGAATCTATAAGGCCTAGAGAAAAATTAGTGTAACCAAAATTGTACGGTACGAAGGGGGCTATCATATAGCGATATAGTATATTGTACAACTAGTGGAAAAAGTGGTCGATTTTGAATGCGACCATCACACTCATTTGGGCTCGACCACTCTTCCCACGAGTTGCTTATACTATTTTTCCTAACAAGAGCGTGAAACAGGCCGCTTTTCGCGCTTGTTTTACAATTTTATTTCTCCACTAGTTGAGAAATGGCTCCATGTTTCGCTTACGTTATCATTGCGAAATGGATCATTTTGCTCACTCAAAACAAGCGCGAAAAGCGGCCCATTTCACGCTCGCGTTAGGAAAAATAGTATGAACAACTCGTAGGAAGAGTGGTCGAGGCCAAATGAGGGTGATGGTCGCACTCGCTTCGCTCGTGCGACTAACTTCACACTCATTCAGAATCGACCACTTTCTCCACTAGTTGCACAATATACTATTTGTCTAGGTGGAGGCGCTTCGGAGATATTAAGGTCATCTTAATTTTTTTTAATTGATTCGGTACATTTTTTTCCATAATATGATAGAGAAGCTGAAAACAAGTTCAGAACTCATGACACAAGAACATTGAACAAGATTTAAAGTGAAGAAAAAACGATTAAAAAATACATTTTTGTATTAAATAAAATTTTCGTTTAAAACCTAAAAGCTAAAAAAAAACTACGCTAATTTTCTTGAGCATACACTTAAAAATATGTATGCATTTTCTATATACTAAATTAAAAAATGCATTATGTAGAAACACATGCATACACACGCAAGCAACAATAAAATAAATAATTATTTTAATAAATAACTTGTTAAATTAATGGAATTAATTAAAGTTATTTTTTTCTCCTAATCAACGGTTATTTAACAAATAGTACCTGATTGTCTTTGTGCTCAGCCAATAGTGATAAGAGAAAGCATGTATCCATCGCTGTAGTATCATGACTGTGTAATAACATGCATGCAGTAATATACATCTGAATGTAAATAATAATGTTTAAAAACAAATTTTTTTTAATTACAAATACGTACCTCAAACATAGAAGTATCGACTTCTTCTTTGATATCTTAATCAGTCAAAAGACTCTCGAGATGTCACACTATTAGAAAATCCAACAATTGCAAGCCGTTTTTTCATACTACAACGAAGCATCGTCAGTATCTTAATAATCCAATTCTTCTGTGGCGTTTTTATTATATATAACATTGACTATATATTTAGAATGCAAACTATATTACCGTTAAAAAATTGTAAAAACATAATTTGATATTAACCGGTTCACTGGTAACGCGAAATCAACGTTTTGTGCCAAAACTGGTAAGACCTAATTCTTCAGATTTGTAATCAGCGACCCAAAAAGCATAGGTGTACCAAGTTATATTCAAATCCGTTAAAAATTGGAAGAAATATTCATGGTGCGCATATATGCCATTACCAGTTGCGGCACTTTTATTTACCGCGCATAATATGCGTCATTAGTGTCATTACCAGTGAACTGGTTAATAGATCAAATGTAAAAGTATAGCTTTTGATTACGTTAAATACTTCCAATCGTTTCTGCATCACCTGTCTCTGTCATTATGTTATTACCTTAAAACCTTTTAAATATTGACCTTTGGTACATACAAAAAAAAGTTTCCTTTCCGCACTTTTAATTAATTTTTAATTAGCATAAATTATTTTAAGTTTATATATTTGCTTTATTGCGCAATCCGGCAAGGCCTCTCAATCGTTACTTCATAAAGATATTAATGTATTAACGATTAACGTATTAACGAATAAAGAATTTATTTTTTAATGTTTTCAATATTTTTACCGTAAAGAATTGCATGCATTTATATAAAGCTAATTAATACTAAGTTATTAATATAATTAAAGCTTTGTAAATTGACAGACAGAAATAAAATTTATTATAAGAAGAAAAAATCTATGTAACGTACATAATCTATGTTACGTAAGTTCGAACACTTACGTATTCAGATTACTTGCATAACTTGCTGTGACAAGGTTTAGAATGTATTCGCATATACACTAATATTCTCTTTACATACTCATTATATAGATGTCGTTATACATGAAGTTATACACGAGTTTATTGTTTAAAGTAATATGTAATTTAATTACAAAGTTTCGTATAATTATTTGTCCTATCAAGATATATATATTTTATAATATATATTATTATATATTAATTAGAACAGTATATAATAATAAAGTACTACATGTAAGTTACAGATATTATATTTTGTTATTTTCGCATTCTTTACTTTGCATCCATTGAAATGACTCGTGCTGAACCAA